CAGATAGGTAATTAGCATCCCCAATATATTTTGGACTGCAACTTCTATCAGCCACAATGGTTAGGGATTATAGTATTTATAGTCCAGGAATAAGATAATATTACTGAAATTTAAAGTTTCCTTGAAAAGGCATGTTTTAAAATTTCTATTAAAGTCTGTAGTTATAGTTATGCTAACATGGTTGTAAGCAAAGCCTCTAGATGGCAGCATATAGCTTTGAGTTGAAGAAATCTTGAACAAAAAAAATCAGATTCTTTGTTTTCACAAATCAGTCTTAAATTCAATTTTCATAGTGCTTTAAAGGCTGGTAAATTGTGACCTATGAAGAAATATTGGATTAAATTTTCAAAAAAGTATCAGCTTGTTGTCTTTATGGTGGAGAAAAAATATTTGTAATGCATATCTCAGAATTTAAATATATGAATTATTTTACTTTCTTATTGTTGCACAACTTAATATTAATATCTGGAAACAACAGCAATACATGTCTTGTTCATGGAATGGTAATTGTGTGGGAAATAGGTTGTGTAATTTTCCCCCCAATCTTTCATTTCTCTTTCAGTCATGAACAGTTGTTTATTGTAGAGAACGCATGTCAAACTTGCGACATCACGTGACATCGTGCGACGTATCACAACTTTTTCCCCATGCCGGCAATGGGGTGGGTGCGGTTTCAGTATGATGCATCCGGCCCGCGGGCTGGCAGTTTGACATGCCTGTTGTAGAGCATATACATTGGTCTCCATTATTATCTCTGCATAGTTTTAGGAATAATTTTATTTATTTATCACATTTCTATACTGCCCATCTCAACCTAAGTGACTCTATCAACTCTATTAGAATATAATGAAATAAATAAAATTCCATGATACAGGCCAGTTGCATAATGAAAGGAATTTTATTGACAGTCCAGATGATGTTCCACTTTTAGTTCTCTCATGTTTTCCTACTCATTCTTCCAACTTTCACCAACTAGCACTAGAAACAAAAAGAACAAAAGACAACAACAAACGCCCAGCTACCCATCCATTAAAAGCTAAAACGACATGTTAATTGCATAATGTGTATCACCTGGTAGCACTGGAAATCATCCAGTGCTACCAGGTGATGCCTTGGTTCATAACGGAAAGGCAAATCAATGGTTCCAAAAACACAATGGACCTATTCTGTTCTGCCAGTGGCAATAAACGTGATCTTGAAGCATCAGGAAAAGAAACGTGTAATTAATTCTAAACTATTGGCATTCTTCAGTACTGTAGCCGGCCACACAGATATTGATCTAGTTATTTGCTGAAAACCTGATTGTTTTGCTAATTCAGATGAACAGTAGTTCATTTTTAACTGACTTTGACAATGAAGGATTTTTCCTGCTCTCCTTCAGTCACTTATAAAGGGTAACATATTGAAGCTTCTAAGCAAGTGAGAAATCTTTATATTTGTTACTATTTGGAGTCAGTTAATGTTACTGAGTAATGGAGTCCTTTCTTCCCTTTCTTTCCTCCAAAAATATATTTAAGGATCATCTGCATGTTACAGGTCCTGGGCCAGTGACCAGGTATGCTGGACTTTGTGCAAGTGTACAATCATTATTCCCCACATTTCTTGCAAAAGAAAACATTAGTGCTGGCAGTGGTGGGAATCTTAATCTATTATTGACCCAAATAAACTATCAAGAAAATGGTCATGAAGTTTCTACAAATGTAACTGCATCTTGAGAGACTTTGCATTCTGACTCATGTCTAAAAAAAAACCCAGAGGCTCCCTACCCTTCAGAAGTATACCAGAATCCTGTTTCACGTATAAACAGATGAAAGCAATCTTTTTCCCCTAATTCATTTGAACTGAGACATGTTTGAAATGAAGTTTAATTGGAAACTGCCCTATACTGAGTTACACTACTGGCCCATCTAGTCTGGTATTGTCAGCACTGATTGCATTCCTTTGTCACAGTAAGCCATGATTTATCTGTACTTGATTGACTAAACTACTACTAGCTGGATCCACATAATGTACTAAGCCAAGACCAAAATTATGTGGATTGGGACAGAAATGAGCAACTATAAGCCCCCATTTGTGCCCTATAAATATCCAAGATTGTCCTGCTGAAAGTGTGAATGTTAATAAAAACTGAACTTTAGCTTTATTAAGTTAACAAAATTAAAATAAAGAAATTACTCTATTATGCCTCTGTGAGGTGAAATTCAGCTATTTTGCTTACTTCAAAGATGTCCAGAGCACCCTGAGATAACATCACCAAAATCTGGCTGCAAAATTATTCAGCCATTTTTTTAAAGTATGCATAATTGAAGGAACGAGGTGAAATAAGGGTGGAAATGAATATATCAAACATTGTGATGTGAAAACACCCATTCCCATCCCATAAAAATTTCCAAAAATAGCCTCTGTCCTTCAAAACATGTGCTGATATCAGCTATGTTGTACACAATCCTCAAATAGAGAAGCAAGTTATTTACATAAACTTTTACATAAACTTATATGCCGCCCTTCTCCCTATAGGACTCAGGGCGGCTTACAGCATATTAAAACACACAAACGCCATCCCCCATAAAACCAATTAAAAACCAAATATTTGTCGCTGTATAGTTATTAAGATTCTAATTAAAATTGTCCCTATTTAAAATTCTCCCTAGGCCAGGCCCGCTTGCTGAAAAAGCCATGTCTTGAGGGCGCGGCGAAAAGATAGGAGGTCCGGAATCGTCCGGATCTCGGGGGGTAGTTCGTTCCAGAGGGTGGGGGCACCCACAGAGAAGGCCCTCCCCCTGGGGGTCGCCAGCCGACACTGCTTGGCCGATGGCACCCTGAGGAGGCCCGCTCTGTGGGAGCGTACCGGTCTGTGAGAGGGAATCTGTGGCAGAAGTTGAAATGTGAAAGAAGCTGCTCAATCTAACGTGGGAATGATGTACAAACTCCACAGCTCTGTAGTATTTCTGATAGGGGAGGAAGATTTCTGCATATAAAGCATGTGCTCAACCACTCATCTATGGCTTCCTTATTTGGAATAAGTGGTATTTCTATAGATTCAATTCCTATTCGGTACTGTCATAGAACCCAGGCAGTATCTGAGCAGTCAGTACTCATTACAGAATAAAAGTTGCCGCTATGTTTTGGACTATGAATTTTTAGAAACAGTTGTTTGCTTAACTCTTCAGGAAGTCTTAGCTTACATAATAAAGTCTAGCCTTTGCTTTTCAGCTAAGTATTTCAACATCTCATTCTCCATTACTTCTTTTATTCAGTGAAATCCATACTTGATGGATTAGCCTTCAGTCTAATCCTCAGGATTTTGAGCGGAACGCCTTTCCCAAGAGACAAATATTTAAAGTTTGCCACTTTACTCACTAGCATTCACGGTTTGATACAATACACACATACTTAGTATCTGATTCCCCTGTAAAATAAAATTCACACGTGTACCTTATTTATGAAGTGGGTACTCATGTATAAATTGTGGTTTTGCTTCCTTCCAAATAATATTAGCGTTCAAGTCATTGCACTTGCTAAACAGATGTATTTTGTATGCAAATGCCAAGATCTATATTTACGCAGACACTCTTCTAAAATTATATTATATACATTTATTTTTACTTGGGAATTGGACTGTAAGCAAATTTTCCAGGTCAACTTACCATTCATTTATTGACATAGGATGCAGATAAAGTACCCTAACCAAATGAGTACAAAAGCTTATAGGATAATCTGGTCACATTGTTTTGTGCTCTGTGGCCATTTCTCCATTGACTATCAGGAAGAACATAGGATTACTTGATAGTGTTTCTTTTTGCTGTTTTCTTTTGCTAGGAATATTGACCTTTGGATAGTTATTACACAAGATTGATATTGCTACTGATAACCTCTGCCACTTCCTATCTTGGCACTCCTTGCCCTTACCTAAGTGCAAACATAAGAGCAGGATTACAGTGGGGGAGGTCTATGATGGGATGCTTTCATCTAAAAAACCTTAGATGAAAGAAATTCAGGGATCATACTGCAAGTAGGGCTACAACTTCCAACTAGAAGGTCCTTGTTGAAGAAGGCTATTCTAGAACCATAGTTCATTTATTAAGATCATTTTGGAAGTAATCACGATTACTACATTTTGAAGTAAAAATATAATCATGAAACAAGACAAAGAAATTGAATAAGTCAAGTCAATATGAAGCTTGTTCACATAGTTTAGTTACAGTGTGCTTGTGGCTTAGAATACTGCATGAATTCTGTCAGGCACAAGAAACCAGGAACAGGAGTAGAGTTCAAAGCACCAAAAGTTTATTTCATGCTACCTATACATAGGAATCTGTTCTTCTAATGGTCACGTCAAATTGACCCCAGATAAGGTTTAACTGAATTAATGGGGACTGGACTTAGGTTTCTTGTGGGAATGTAATGACTCAAAACTGATGATGTGTTTGACCTTGCCCACAGGCTGCACCTGGTCACCTCCTACAAATTCAACCCCTGTAATAAGTTTGTTGCTTAATGAAATGTGCACACCCAGTCAGTTATAATTTGTTCAATAAATGATAGTTAAGCAAGACATGATATAATGTGTGCACAGTCATATTTACAAATGAAATATTTATATGAACACACAATAAAAAGTAGATGACTCTGCCATATACAAATTATAGACAGGTAAACACAAAGACGTTTGAAATATTCCAAGAAGGTCTAAATGCCATTCGAAAGTTATTCTCATCCATCTCCCGGGACAAAGATACCGCTCTGCAGAAAGCTTTCTGTATTATTTTTATACTTGGAAATTTGTTGACAATGTGATTGCAAAGTAACAGTATATAAGTACAGTATTGTTTCCTATCCACTCACTTCTGAATTCCAGTAGTTGTAAGATTCTGGTAATAAAGGAGTTAAGACTCAATGCTGTCTTCTTTTGGAATGGGCCAGCCTCTCCTCTACAACTAGACATCTGGATTTAATAAAATCTAGCAAATGAGAGTGTGCTCTCTCTCTCTCCCTTCTTTTACAGAGAAACTGTCAAAACATTCCAATGGTGTGAGGTAGACTCTGGTACAGAAATCTCTGGCTGGCAAAGCACAAGGCAACCAGCACAATCATGGCTCCTCAACATATCTTGCTTCTGCTGGTTATCCTGGTCAGTGCTGTCGATGGGCAACAGCAGTTAATGGAATACATGGAGAGAAGGCTGGCTGGCTTAGAGGTGAGCACATAGAGATGGCAACTGACACATTCATCTTTGAACTTGGTAGGCACAAGGCATTAGGACTGCAGTTCTATAGTTTTCTTATGGAATAGTTTGAACTGCTAGCTGAGAAGAAACCATCCTCTCTCAAGCAGGAATTCACTACATGTTCAATTTGAAAGAGAGTGCTGTTCATGATTGTAGATGATGGTATGGAAGCTTGAATGAATGTGAAAATTTCAGGCTGCTTAGTTTATATTTGTAATGAGAGGTCTGCAACATTCTGAAAACAACTTTTTTTCCCCGATTGTAAAGTCTTGTTCCATATTTTAAAATGCTACAGTTATTTGGAAGACCAGGAGCATCTTGTTTAAACATAATAAGTCTAACAGCACTTCAGCGATAAATTCAAGAATTCTCTACCCAGCTATTCTGAGTGTTAGCAGCTGGATGCATGCTGCTGACTGGGAGACAGAATCATAAAATAACAGTTCTAAAGTCTAGATTGCAACTTGGTAATTTTAAAAGCAAAACTAAATTGCAGAAAATCTTAAAAATGAAAATACGGGTACATAGGGATGCCTGCAAATCCAGAAGGTAGATGAAAATATCTCAGAGTTAGCTGATATTCTAACATGACAGGATTTTAAGTTCATGATTTTCAGTATTTAGTCTACAATAACAAAGACTCTGTAATATGTGAAATCAAATATAACCTGATTTTTACAGAGTGAATGCTGTTTGAGTTTGAGTTCATTTTTTATCCGGTTTTGAGCTTTTTAAAATTATTCTGCAATTCTATGGACGTAGCATGCTTGCTAAAGAGTTTCCTCTACATTTCCCTTAAAGCCTCTAATTCCCTTTGTACCATCAGGAACGCATTTCCCAGTGGCATGATCAGAGTAGCCGTTATTCCACTGAACTGAGAGATTTCAAGAATAAGGTGGTGTCCATGTTGGAGACAGTAGAAAAAGATAAGGAAATACTCCGTGCAGAGGTGGAAAATACTGCAATACGGGTGGACCGACTGGAGCGAGAGGTGGACTATCTTGAGACCCAAAATCCTGCCCCACCCTGTGTGGAAGTAGATGATAAGCTAATGGAGAATCAGGCTTCTACTGGCAAGAAGCGTAAGAACGAGAAATATGACAAACTGACAGGTAAGCAGAATCCTCCAGGTCAGGGGTCCTCAACCTTGGCAACTTTAAGACTTGTGGACTTCAACTGCTGAGAGTTGAGGACCCCTGTTCAAGGTCATGTGCTCGCACTAGAAGCCAGTCCCAATGATCCTCTCACGTATCTTTTCATATGGTTCACAAATGTTACAATCACCTATTAAGATATATTTGGCAGTGTTCGCATGTTGGGTAAAGCTGTAATGTGGGTTGTTGGGTTTGGATTAGCGTGCTGTGTTAATCCAGCCATGTTGGTGTGTAAACTATGGTTTATTGATTAATGTAATGTGTGAATTGAGCCAATTATTCACAAAACCATAGCTCAGAAAGCCTCAGCTTAGTGATAAATGTCAGCCTAGCCACTAAATAAAGTAATAGTAAGATAGGCATTTGTAAATGTTTACCACCATGTGGGGATTAGATATACAGTTCAACTCTATTTCATATCTTACAATTCAAAATTCTGCCAGAGGGAAGAAGGACTTCAGTATTCTGAAAACAATTCTCCTATTAGAATATAACAAATGCCCATTAAAAAAGAGACTTCATTGCAGTGGAGAACTGGTAGCTTTATGTTGGTCATTGTTAAAGAAATCAAGACAGATTAGCAGCCTGTTATTAAAAAGGGCATAGCCTTAAATTATTTTAACGATTAACATGCAAAGCTCACAATATGATATAGTTGGTGTACAGCAGAAGCTGTAATTAATTACGTCCTCGCCAATGGAAGTTGTTGCATTTCTCCTTCACTTAGCACAACAGCCTAAGTGGATGGACAGTTTTGGAAGAGGGGACGGGGCTTAATATTTTATTCCTACAACAGAAATAACATTTACATTTTATAACAACAGATTTTGTTTTCTTCCTAGCATTTTCCTGTAAGTGGAAGGTCCAGGTTTTTTGGATCAACATAGATTTTTTCCAGTCTCATTTTCCAGTGGGCAATCATTACCACTGAATTCAGGTCCATCTATTTTACTGCTGGCTATCCTCTTTTTTCTTCCCTTTCAATCATTCCCAGAATTATGGACTTAAGGAAATAGACCTTTGTCTAATATGCAATCATTTGTGCCTGTCATTTGTGCCGCAAGAAAGAATTTTGTTCTGTGATCCATTTGTTTTCTTGGCTATTCACAACCTTGATCTTCAACACCAAAGTTCAAAAGCATTAATACTCTCATATCTTGCTTGCTCCAAGTCCAACTTTTGCTTCTACAGAGTGTCATAGTGAAAACCATTTCTACACAATTCTGACCTTTGTGGATATTGACACATTATGATATCTGAATATATTTTCAAGGCCTTCATTGCTATCCTATCAAGTGCTGGTCTGAGATGTATTTTTGACCGTTTGATCCTTTATTGTTGATAGTTGATCCTAAAAGACAGAGATAATCCATCATTTCAATATTTATTCATTTATAACAGATATAAACAATTAATTGATAATCAAGTACTCACATTTACTACAATCTTCCAGACAGGAGCATCAGTTATTCTGAGCTAATGATAAGGCTGGTTGCTGTATCTCTTGTCATTAGTTTGGCCTTTTTTTAGCTTCCTTTAGCTTCCTTTTTTCCGTGTACTCCCTGAATTTCATCACTGAAGTTTTCAGATTTATTTGCATTTTCAATTATCCAAGTAGTGTCATCAGCATTATTGATTTTTTCCCCTCCAATTTTAAAATCATGCATATCTTCCTTCAATCAAGCTTCTGTGGTCATAAAACATAATTGTCTTGCTTAATAATGGCAATCCCTGCAGTCCTGGTTAACTGAATCCTATGATCATTACATAAGACAACTTTCTGCCAGCTTCCCACAACCAAAGTTAATGGGAAATCTGGCTGAAAGTTGCAAATCCCAGGCCTGCAGGCAGGTAAGTGGCTGCTGCTAGGTGGAGGAGATAGCAAGGGTGAGCTCGGGGAAGGCCAAGGACAGTCAATGAGGGGTGAGGTGCAGCAAAGGGAGGGTGTACAAAGGTGCATGAGGAAACTTAGGAAGGTGCATGAAGGTGCAATGGGGTTCATGAGAGGCACTGCATAGGTCAGTAAGGGTGCCTGGAGGTGTGATGCAAGTCAGGGAGGGTGAGTAAGAATGCCCAAGTGGCCACCATGGTGCAAGTGCAGTGGTGCTGGAGGAGGGTAGCCAGGTAGGTGAGATTTACCCCAGAGACTGGCAATGTTCCCTGCTGGTTTCCTCATTGACTTTCTGGGAAGATGGCAGGGAAAGTTGCAAATGGTGAACATGTGATCATGGGACAGTTGGCAACTGGTTATAAGTACAAATGGATTGCCAAGCACCCAAGTTGAGATCATATGACTGTAGTGATTCTGGGATAGCCAGACTCCAAGGACTGTTATTAACCTCTATTGGTTCAGCAGTGTCATAAGTTCAAAGGGTTGCTAAATAATGGTCATAGGCCAAGGATTACCCATATAGGCTTTGCATAAGGACAATCAGGTATTCTGGGATTCCTATTTCCCTAAGCATATTCCTGCCACAATCAAAGGTTTTCTATCATATAAGAAGCACATTTTATTCTCCAGATTTAATGGCATAGTTTGGTTATTGATTCTTCTTCTATTGTTTGTCATATTTTCATAGATATTCTATCAATTACTTTAGCCTTCTGACTTGGTAAAGATTAGGAATACTGATCCTTCATCTTCTAGTACTAGAGCAGTGGTTCTCAACCTGTGGGTCGGGACCCCATTTGGGGTCGATCGACCATTTCATGGGGGTCGCCAAGCAAGGCTGTCCGCCATTTTTTTTGTCTGCCATTTTTTTGTCCGCCATTTTTTCCCCCTTTTCCGGCAGGTGCCTTACCTCCCTTGGGCTGGGCCAGCTGGTAGTCGGCCTGCTCCATCTCTGCCGCTTGCCAGCTACGCCTCGGCCGGCGCAGGGGGCGGAACCACGCATGTGCGGCGCTCCCGGGCAGGGAAAGTCCTCAACTTACGACCGGTTTAGTCCTCGACTTACGACCGGTTTAGTCCTCAACTTACGACCGGTTGGGGTCGCGGCATTAAAAAGGTTGAGAACCACTGTACTAGAGGTTCTTTGTAAATGGGGAATATCATTTAAATGTCTCTAACAACAAGCAGCCCATCTTGCTTTTATGTTCTTTTGATTTCAGATTGAACTTGATAATAAAACTGGTTAAAATCCTCTTTTTCTGCATCAGTGTTGAAGCATAAATTTGGATAATCATCATATTGAAGGATTGTCTGCAATGTCTGATTGACAATATTCAGTTATTGATTGCACTGTACCCAAGAATTATCTTGGCAACATTCTTCATAACTATGAAAGTAACACCATTTCTTATGTGTGTTTATGTATGTCCTTCAATTTATTGATGTCTAAATTGTCAATCTGTAGTCATTTCCTTTTCATTTCATCTTTCACTGTGCTGAGATTTCCCCTGTTCATATTTCTTATGTTCCATGTTCCCACTGTAATTCTGTTGCTGCAGCTTCGAATTTCTTTTCCTTCTTGGCAACAGCGTAGCAAAACATCTTGAAGGCTTTAATTTACCTGTGTCATAAACACCACTAGTACTCCAAAAGATCCTCAAAAGTTCATCAATAACATAGAAGCATAGAATTATAGAGCTAGAAGAGACTTCAGAGGTCTTCTAATCGAACCCCTTGCCCAAGGCAGGAGTCGTATATCATACCAGACAAATTGTTGTGCAATTGTCTTGAAAGCTACCAGCAATTAAGATCCTGACCTTCATTATCTATCTTTTTTTTTTGCACAGACTGTCCAGTAGAGAATCCCAGTTTTACCCTAAGTATATTCAGGTTATCTGTATAAGCTAGAATTTCATATGGTAAGGTATCATTGGTATACTTTCTAAGTTAACTTAGTTGTTTGCTATATCTCATCAGTTAGAAAGTACATACTTTTGGATCAGAAATGGGCAAAGTATTTGCAGGAAAGCATACTTTTAACATACAAAAATAGAATAGAATAGAATAGAATAGAATAGAATAGAATAGAATAGAGCTGGAAGGGACCTTGGAGGTCTTCTAGCCCAGACTTCTGCTCAAGCAGGAGAACCTATACCACCTCAGACAAGTGACTGTCCAGTCTCTTTTTAAAAACCTCCAGTGATGGAGTGTCTACGATTTCTGGAGGCAAGCTGTTCCACTGGTTATTTGTCCTCACTGTTAGGAACTTTCTCCTTAATTCCAGGCTGCATTTCTCTTTGATCAGTTTCCAACCATTGTTTCTTGTCCTGCCGTCTGGTGCTTTGGAGAATAATCTGACCCCCCTCTTCTTGGTGGCAGCCTCTCAAATACTGGAATACTGCTATTATGTCACCCCTATTTCTTCTTTTCTTTAGACTAGCCAAACCCAAATCCTGCAACCGTTCTTCATATGTTTTAGCCTCCAGGCCTTGGATCATCTTAGTTGCTCTTCTCTGAACTTTTTCCAAAGTCTCAATATCTTTTTTGTAGTATGGTGACCAAAATTGGTTGCAGTATTCCAGGTATGGTCTTAATAGGGTTTTATAAAGCAGTACTAATACTTCACGTGATCTTGATTCTATGCCTCTGTTTATACAATCCAGGATTGCATTAGCTTTTTTGGCTGCTGCTGCACATTGTCAAGTGATCGTCCACTAGGACTCCAAGGTCCCTCTCACAGTTATTGTTTTTGATCCAAGTTTCACCTAATCTGTACTTATATTTTTGATTTTTCCTGCCTAAATGTAAAACTTTGCTTTTCTCCACATTAAAACTCATTTTGTGGGATAGGGACCATTGTTCCAGTTTGTCAAGATCTTTTTAATAAATGAATATAAGATACTGTTTTTTTCACAGCATTGGCATATATTATAGAGGGCCATTAATAGTTTAATTATCAGTAAAGCAGTTGTTATAAATAATTTGTGGTATATAAAATATAAATAATTTCAGAAATCTGTAAAATTTAAGCCATCTATTTCTGAACATGACATGGAATGTTTTATGTGCTTACATCTGTTGATATTATGCTTCAGTATGATGTGAAATAGTAGATATTAAGCATGCTATAACTATTCTTTATAGATTGCAGTGACACCATATCCCAAGTCAAAGCCATGAAGATATTAAAGAGGTTTGGCAGCACTGCTGGACTCTGGACCAAAGACCCCCTCAGTAATTCAGAGAAGATCTATGTGTTTGATGGCACCAGCAATGACACTGTCTATGTTTTTCCAAGGATGAGAGAATTCACCCTCTTTTCTGCCACCCGAAAGGCTGCACGCATCAAGTTGCCCTATCCATGGGTTGGCACAGGACATTTGGTATATGGAGGGTATCTTTATTATATTCGGCGACATGGCACATTTCAGGTCATCAAATTTAGCTTGACCAACAAAACGATTGTTGATAGTTCTGTCTTCCCAGCTGAGGAGCAGATCCCTGTCTTTGGTCTTGCATCCTACAACTACATTGATTTGGGGGCTGATGAGGAAGGCATCTGGGCTATTTATGCCACACAAGAAAATGAGAAAAATATAGCTTTGGCCAAACTAGATCCTACATCTCTAGACATTGAGCAAATGTGGGACACACCATGCCCTCGGGAGAATGCAGAGAGTGCTTTTGTTATCTGTGGAGCTCTCTATGTAGTATACAATACCCGGTTGCCCAGCCGATCCCGTATTCAATGTACCTTTGATGTCAGTGGGTCAATGGCATCTGAAGATGCTGCCCAAGTCTATTTCCCAAAACGATACGGTTCTCACTCCAGTATGAAGTACAACCCCAAAGAGAGGCAGATCTATGCCTGGGATGATGGTTACCAGATCATTTACCGTATGGAGATGAAGAAGAAGAGTGAAGTCTGAAACAGGCCTTTGTCTCTGGCAAAAGAGAATCTGAAACATATCTCAGTGCCACTCAGATGCCACACATGCCAAGTGGTGCATAGCATAGGAAGGCAACAGCCACAATGAGGACTGATTAGACTGAATTTTTAAAAGGAATGCCTTTCTGATATATTAAATGCTTTTAAACAGATGTTGTCCGCATTTTTATTGGTGCCTGTCAATTTTCATTTGCTTTTCAACTTAGTTTTTTTAAAAATAAATTTTATGATGGGAAAACATTTGTTCCATTCAAAAGCATGAAGAAAAGATTTGTGTATCTAACTTCCTAATTTACATGTTCTTCAATAGCTTTAAATCCAAACTGGGATCCTCCACTCTGTAGATCTCTGCTGTAGATCACTCCCTTTATCAAAAGCAGTTCAAAAGAGATTGTGGAAATATTTGACTGTCATTTCAGTCTCCAAGACTCCAGGAATTTTCAGTGGCTATGGAAAAAAAACCCTGGCTATTTTAACAGTTGATTTAATGAGACTTCACCTCAAGTGGTGAAAATTGGACAGAGCAATTGGAAAGTGCAAGGAGGGGGTTTAGAGATGAATGATTATGCTGTATCCCATCCTTTCTGCCCCAGAAAGGATGTTTTTAAATGCTGAATGAGTTTAGATCAGTGTCAAAACTAGTGTAAATTTATTTTTCCCCATTGCTTACAATTTGATTTAAAAACTTCAGTTATCAGAGTGGTCTATTACTGGAATATTTGAAATAAGGCTAAATGTCACTATCTTTCATTTGCTGGTCTACTGTAGACATCTTGGCGTGATTCACATTGCAGTTATTATCTGAAAAAAGGTGAAATTTCCCATAATCAATTTTCTTTTTTCTTCGGCTTTCATATCTTGTGCTGAACATCAGAGAGAATTTAATGCATTTTGAGTCCTTTGTGCTTTGGAATCTCTAGCTGATAATTATTTGTATTGGAGGCTTTGCTTTGGCAGGGCTGGTGTGTGTGTCTGTGTGTATGTATGTGTGTGTATGCATGATTGATTGGTATTTATTGTTTATGTGCAAATTACTGAGAAATTATGAATGAACTAATATAGAGATAGTATACTTCATGTGCATAAACAAGAAAAGTACATGGCACAGAAAAACATAATTTATTAGTTGATATGCATATATGCAACCCCCCCCCCAAACTTTGGATCCCTGTCTGGACAATTCGCATCCAGTCTCTCATCTTTTCTTTTTAGGAAAGATGGTTGAGAAAGTGGTTGCATGTCAGTTTCAGAGGGTTCTGAATGAAATGTATTATCTGGAACCCTTCCAAGTCAGGATTCAAGCCCTGTTATGGGCAGAAACAGCATCAGTCACATTATAGATGATCTCTGGTGAGAGCAGGATAGGGATGATGCATCCATTCTTGCTCTCCTTGATCTCTCAGTGGCCTTCGATACCATTGAATATGGTATCCTTTTGGGGATTTGGGGGATTTGGGGCAGGTCAGTGCAGATTGCACTGGTTTGGCTCCTTTCTCCAACATTGGTCCTAATCGGTGTTGATAGGGAATGAGAATCCAGCTCATGGCCAATCTTTTATCGTGTCCCATAGGGCTTTATACATTCTCCACTCTTTTTTAACATCTACATGAAGCCACTAGGTGAAAGCATCCACCACCATAGGATGAATAACAGAATAATAGAGTTGGAGATCTTCTAGTCAAAACTTCTGTTTAAGCAGGAAACCCTATAACATTCCAAACAAATTGTTCTCCAATCTCTTCGTAATAATCTCCAGTGCTGGAGCACCCACAACTTCTGGGGAGGCAAGTCATTCCAATGATTAATTGTTCTAACTGTCAAGAAATTTATTCTTAGTTCTAGATTGGTTCTGTCCTTGATTAGTTTCCATCCACTGCTTCTTGTCCTGCTTTCAGGTGCTTTGGAGAATAGGTTGACCCTCTCTTCTTTGTGGCAGCCCCTTAGATACTGGAACACTGCTATCATGTCAGCCCTAGTCCTTCTTTTCATTAAACTAGACATACCCAATTCCCGAACTGTTCTTTGTGTGTTTTAGCTTCCAATCCCCTAATCATCTTAGTTGCTCTTTTCTGCATTCTTTCTAGAGTCTCAACATCTTTTTTCTATTGTGGCAACCAAAACTGGATGCAAGTGTGATCTTTCCAAGACATTATAAAGTGGTATTAAAACTTCACATGATCTTGATTCTGTCCTTCTATTAATGCAGCCTAGAACTGCATTGGCTCTTTTGGCAGCTATAGCACATTGCTGGCTCATATTTGAGATATCATCAGTATGCTGCTGATATTCAAGTGTACATCTCCATCCCTGGTGACCCAAATGATGCTGTCACTGCTGTCTCATGGTGCCTGGAGGTTGTGGGAGTCTGGATGGGGGACAACAGACTTCGTCTGAACTCTGTAAGACCAAACGGCTTTAGGTATGTTGAGCTTCTGGCTTCAGAACTTTAACATCTTTAATTTTGGTTGCACTACGCTGGACAGACACAGTGCACAATCCGGGGATTCTTCTGCACACCTGGTTCCTGCTCAGTGAACAGATAGCAGTTGTGGCTAGGACACCCTTTGCACAACTTCATGTTGTGTGCCAATTGTGCCCTTTCCTGGATTGGGAGTCTCTGTGTTCAGTCACTCAAGCCCTGGTCATCTCATGGTTGGACTATTGCAATGCACTCTCCATGGGGCTACTCTTGAAGAGTATCCAGAAGCTTTAGCTGATGCAAAATGCAGCTGTGTGGGCAATTCTTGGGGCCCCTAGAGAAGCCCATATTACATCGCTGATCTATGAGCTACAATGGTTGCCAATTTGCTTCCAGGTCTGATTCAGGTTGCTGCTTATCACCTTTAAAGCCCTTCACATCATGGGTCCAGGGTATCCAAGGAACTGGCTAATCCCAATGGAGTTAGCCCACCCCACATCTGCCAGCAGAAGAGGCATGCTAAGGACCCCATTGGTCAAGGAATTTTACCAGTGGGGTCCAGGAGAAGAGTCTTTTCTGCTGTGATGCCTGCCCTGTGAAACATCCTGCCCCTTGAGGTGAGATCCGCATCCGCCCTTCTGGCTTTCCAAAAGGTGTTCAAGCCCTTTTGAAGACTGGCCTGGGGTCCCAATGGGAGAGTGACATCTTGGAGGTGGTTCATGGATTAGACAGACGCCACATCATCTCTGTGTGTATTTTGCTCCCTTCCTCCTATCTTCTATTGAATATTAACTGATTTTTAAATGTATATTTGTATTTATTGTTTTAGGGTTTTGTATCATATTTTAATTATATGACTCTAAGCTTCCTAGAGACACCTCAGTGAGAAGGGCAGCATAGAAGTGTAATAATAAATAAAAATAATAAATAAATAAATTTATCAGCTCAGAGCCTGATACACATACACTCAAGCGCTCAAAATTCATCAACTGGAATTAAAGATTTGAATAGTGGCTTAGTAGACAAATGCAGGTAGTCCTTGATTTACAACCATTTGTTTAGCAACTGTTCAAAGTAAAAACATGACTTACAGCCAGTCCTCACAGTTACAACTAATGCAGCATCCTCATAATTATATGATCAAAATTTGGGCACTTGGCAATCAGCATGTATTTACCACAGTTGCAACATCCCAGGGTCATGTGATCACTATTTGTGACTTTTCTGTCTGGCTTTTGACAAGCAAAGTCAATGGGTGATAAGCCAGTTTTGCTTATTGAGTGCATGATTCATAAAACAACTAAAGTGATTTGCTTAACAACAGAGACAAAAAAGTCATAAAATTACTCACTTTATAACTGCCTTGCTTAGCAACAGGAATTCTAGTCCTAATTGTGTCAAGGATTACCTGTATACACTCCAAATTATCCTTCTCTTTAAAAATAATAAAATCAGACTTTGGTGGTATTGCATTAGCAGGACTGATTTATCTTCTCTTTCATGAAAAATCCACTCCTATCTGCCTGGTTTCAGAAGAGAGACAGAGAAAAATGCATTGCTATATTTTACTGTTATTACTGCAATTTAAGAATGTTTCCCAACTATTTAGTGTAGAAAGTTTTGATTGATTTGTGATTTGAAACTTATATAATGCTTCCCATCAAATTTTCCCAGCAGTTTATTATAATAATAGTACATACATTTGTAAAGAATTGAAACTGACAATTTGGAAAAAGTTTCTTAGTTTTTTGTTAGAAGTACACAAGTATACAGTGTGGCACAACCATGAAACTACAATCTAGTTCGGAAACCTAGCAACTTAACAGGTCAAAAGTAAAAAAAAAAAACACCACTCAGAATATACAAGAGATTATCCTGAGTATCTAAAGAACTAACATCATAATTGCTAGAAAAGCTTTGGGAGATTCATTTTCCTGAAATCTCTATTTTTTTCCTGCTATTATTCAAGATATGGCATATCATACATGGACTAGCAATATATATTAATATTTCATCTAGATTAGTAAAACACAATAAAATATAAGTGTTAGAAAGATCTTTTTCCTGCTAATTTAGTATGTAACTTAATGAAATAATGCAATAATGAAATCTAAACATCTGCATTGTTCATACCCATAGACTGGTTTTTGTGTTGTTTACACCTAGCCTTTCAAAGTATGCAGAAATTTTCTTGTAATCTTTATATTAGATTGTAATTTTTACTCCTTGATACAGTTTTGGTGTTTAAAGTCCTCCCCTCTCCTGGCCTTTTCTTGATTAGGAAGAATTTTTGAGCAATGCTTCTGCCAAGTCCTGGCTTTCATCCTTCCATTATCTGCAAAAGACAAACTCAGTTGGAAAAGAATCTTCTGCCAATTTGACTACTTTTGTTTTCTTAATAGATTGGTCTGCCAGGGATGCATCAGAGAACTACAAATGGTGCTAGATAAACACAGACCAGGTTTCACTATTTCCTATACAAAATTTTATGTACTACCATCCTGCATATGAAATGTTGGAAAAAGAGTTGCCTTTCCATGGATCGGGATTGAATGGTAGACAGGTATGTTGATTTAGAATGGAAGAGATCGGGGTCTCACTAACACAATGCCAAAATCCCAAGATAAAATTCTGCATGGAGAATAGAGATAGGTTTGCAAGCTGGAAGAATGGATTCAATTTGATCAAGGGAAAAAAATTACCGACTTTAGACAAAGGCTCTAGCAGGGCTTT